TTAGAAGTGCTGAGGCTGTACTCGCTCGAACGAAGGTTAAGGAGGGGCGATCTCATCCAGGCTTTCAAGATTATTAAAGGAATAGATAATGTCGAGTGTGGTAGGTTTTTCCAGTTTGATGACAGCAAGAGAACGAGAGGTAACCGACTTAAGTTGCGCAAACCGCAGGTGCGGCTCAGGTCGAGACAGGAATTCTTTACTTGCAGAGTGGTGAACGCGTGGAATGAGTTAGATGACGAAGTAGTGGCTGCCCCTTTTGTGACTATCTTTAAGAAGAAACTAGATGCTTTCATGGACAGGCAAAAAGGTGGGGGGCAATGTTGACGTTAGGTACCAGACAGTAAGCAACTTGGATAGTCAAATAACAAAAAAAAATACAAAAATATATGCTTTAAGAGGGTTAGGCCTACCCTACAATTAAGGAACGCTCGACCTCGACACGTGATATCGAAATGGGCGAAATCGCCTCTTGATATCACTGACTCTCTTGACTCTTGACATATGATGAGGTACTAAACACTCCTGTGAGGGATGATTCTATAGGAAAAGGGAAGTGCACTTTTGTGTACAGTTGAAAAAGCGAGACCCATACCTCCATCTAGTGGCCTAGTGGAGATCTTTAACATTTCCACAAAAAAAAACTGCTACGTGCAACTTGGGCTCATTCGATCATCGCGTCAGTCTGATATTGGATCGATGATGGATATTAGGAAGTCAATATTTAGCCGGTATTGACAATAATGGCAAGATGTATATTGACATCGTGGCCAATGTTTGTCCAACATTGAGGCAATATCTGGCGTTACTGGGGTTGTAACACTGGATAGGTTCTTGGTCGTTTCTTGGAATAAAAAATTGCATTCCCTTTTTGGCGATGCATGCTCCATGAAACTATCATAAGTATTATTTAAAAAAAAAGCGATTTAAGAGGTATCATAGAGCCATAACACTGCTATAATATTCGGGCAACGTTGGAACTTGACCTGCAATGTCGATGACATTGTATTGTCTCGAGGGGAACGTTCTCACAATGCTACTATGTTGGCTGGGAGGTGCGCAATCAAGAGTGGGGAGAAGCCTCTGGTAGGCAAACCCTCTACCCCCTTTCTCCTCCAGGTTGTTCCTCGTCGCCTCCAATATTTCACTTTAAAATGATCTAGTTACGTTCCTGTCTGTCCCGCTGTTGTCGTAAGCAAAATTAAGAGTTGAATTCCTACAGAAAATTTTGGAATTTTTTTTTTGTCCTCCACAAGGCGTGAGTCCCTCTCAAGCCTTCATGCACTTAAATTCCCTCTGTCTGTAACTTCATCTGATGAACTTAATCTGATAATAAACCTCCTCTGGGGACTCAATTTGGCCCTCATGGTCACGTGAGTTCGTTAAACGTCCGGGTCGAGCCTTCACCACTGGGGCTCTTTGAGGTTCAACTTTAAGAGACGGCGTGCCTAATGCTCAGAGGTCTCCCTTCCAAAACATTCCGAAATTTGCACTCGGAAATGAACTTGATATCAAAGTAGGATCCTCTGCCAAGGGAGCCGAACTCGCAACATACATCAAATAAAGAGTTGTCATTTCATGTGTAACACTAAAAATGAATATTTATATCATGAAGACGTTCTCTTTGGAGCATGGCAAAGTCAGTTTTCACGATATAAAGTGTTATACGGCTGGATGATGCAATGCGATGTAATCACTGTACGATATATCGGGCAACACTGGTCGATGGAGGAGTGTTTACTTCCGGCGCACTCGAGTCACGCGTGTTCATCTTGTGCATCTGCGTTTCACATGCAACCTTCACCTTTCCACCATGTATCGCTATCTATCTATGAGATGGGATGATAAAATAGGTTGTATTACTAGTATGCTCGTGTTTTGTCAAAGCCTGACATGAGATCCAAATGTCAGTAGGCCCATACGCGTAACGTTAGGCTAGACTCGAGCTTACGTACGCTTTCGTGAGCTCTAGTCCTTGGATTTGTTAAGTCCTTTACTTTTACTTTTTTTTTCTTTAAAAAACTGCAGTTTAATAAAGAGGTGCAGTGAATGGTGAAGGAGCAGAAATGATTGTGGTTTGAGGATGGTGATGATACTTGCTTTCTTGTCCGTCCCCAATGTAGCAATGACGAAAGGTAGCAAAAAGGCCCAGCAGTTTATGTGGAGAGATATGACTGTATATGACTAGTATTTGAATAGTTGTTTCCTGGGATTCCAGGCAATTATGTCTGTTATGCACCTGTCTTTGCTACTGTTCAAAATGTACCTTTATTTTTTTTAAGTATTGAAAGGCAAGATTCAGAGTAAATGTGGGTGCACATGACTTTGAAGTGTTTGGAACCAACTGCAAATTGTCACTAGATCCTGATAATGGACTAATTTGATACTTTGATCAGTGTGTAAGGGATTCCTTCATATTATCTGCACCCAGGATGCCTTATGAACCTCAATTGTCCAATGTTAGACAAATACCCCTCAAGGTTATTCCATCAAAATCTTCCATTTTCAGTCTCCCATTCTTCCTCTGCCTCCCTGAGAGGCTCAAGCTAATGAAATGCCTCTGCTTCCTGCAGACATAGGTGTTGCTTGTGTTAACTTATCAGCAACAGACCTCAATTACACAAGTTGTTCAATTGCTAAGTAGAGTTTGCAGAATCGTTTCTGCAGAATGGGAATGGGATGAAAGCACATCTTTATTAGTGCAGGAATAAATTTTTAGGCCTATTCTTTTTCATTTTCAGTTTCTTTCATGGTTGCATCATGGTTTTGTAAACTCTCCCATGTCCATTCATGATGGTGATCTTCCTTAAAACTTGTTTTATTGAAGCCTACCTCTATCATGCAAATATTGATGCACATTCCAGTCCCTGCTTTCTCTTTATGTGTGCCAAATGCTTGAGCCTAGCAATCTCATTATGTAGTTGCCATATCTAAGGACTCTGCAGTGGATGCACAGTGTGCATAAAATTAAGAAATATCATTATCACTAAATTGATAAGCCTAGTATGAGATGATTTTCCATTAGGTCCTTCTGGGAGACCATTCACTTGTCAACAGGAAGGTTGTCTAAAATTAATAAGATATACAAGGTGTAATATCAAACAATATGAATCTTCACATATAGGTTCTCCACTCTCACAAAGGACCGGGTGGCATGAATCCCTAACAGGGTGCCATTTTATGTAACCTGTCACAGCTTTGCCTTGCTTTCTATGTGAAACATGATTTTTGGGAAGCAGTAGGGAGAGGAGGAGAGAATAAGTTTGACGCATGAGACTTTTGCTACTCTTTGTGGATGAAGTAGTGACCCTTTCTGGGACTTGATGAACTAAAAATATATGCCGGGTTCAAAATTTGCAGGAGCCCAAATCCTAAGATATGAGCCTGGACACCTATGTGTCACAGGAATATCCATCTCTCAGGCTCCCATGAACTTTGAACCCTGCTACACAACCAAATACTTGCATTTTTCATACTGCTCCTGGGTTCCTATTTGCTTTTGGACTATGATGGCATAAATGATTGAAATCCCATGAAGTTATGATTTGTTAATTTTCCCAAAATGATAAAAATTCATCATTTGTATTATTTCATTTTCAAATAAGTTATTTGTATATGGGTTCCTTTTAGCATTTGTGCATATATCATATTGCTACACAAACCTACAATTAGGAACCAACCAGTAGACCTGTAATTTTTGCAAGTTTAAAGTGTCTGATTTTCTTTGGTAGGTTTTGTATGTGAGTAGTTAGAGAAGATGTCTGTGTCGCCAGTTACCCAAATGAGCTCTAGCAGTGAGATGAGGGCAATTCCCTTAAGACGAGTCCATTTAACTGACCCGTCGCAGCTCCCTGCCAGCTACTCTTCCACCCCTGGCGGCACCCTCTTCTCCACTACACCTGGAGGTGCGTTTTGTTGTGGTGCAATGTTGGGGCCCAGTGGAATGAAGTTTTGTGTTGTGTAATGAGGTGGAAGTTGAAGTTTGTAGTGAGAAGGATTGACACAAAGCAGGTACTTTGAATCAAGCACATTATCATAAGAGGTAAATCAATATCAGAATATGTTTGGTGTTGCAATTAGTCCACAAATTAATTTGATGACATAATTAGATAGGACTTTGGAAAACCATAATTTTTTACCCTTAGGTCAGGTTTGCTGAGCACTGTATGAGGACCAGTGGAAAAGTTACAATACACTTATTTTTTTTTCTGGAAATACCTGTTAAAAGTGAAGTACAATTATATGACCTTCAAAGTAGTCCCCTTGGGTAGTCACATTCTTTTTCCAGTGATCATACAGTTGCATGAAATATGGTTGCAGGTAATTTTTTACTACCACCTTCAGGTGAGATTCAGGCATGGCATGTGAGAGGATATACAGCCAGATTGTGTTGCTGTATCGAGCACTTCATTGGTATTTTCCATTTTTTTAAAGTTAGCATCAGAACTTATTGACTGGCCCTTGTGACCCGTGTATGCTCTTGGTATTTTCTGCTTTGTGTTCTTCCCCTAAGTGGCCATCCCCAACATTACTATTCTATCTACACTTTCAGTTGAGAAGTGATGAGACTTTGTTGAGAACTAATAAAAATTACATTCCTTATGATATGGCATAGAACTTATGCTCAGTTCTGCTGCAGGATGCCTTTCTTACAGCAAAATTTCATCCTTCATTTGGTAAAGAAAGAACTGTGACAACTGGAATAGGGTAAAAGTAGAATGCCTAAATAGAATAAAGAAAGTAATGACATGAAATTGAATAAATATTCAAAGCCAGATGCAGCTGATGAGGATGTGGTCCCCAAGCCCCATTCATGAGTGGGGAGAAGGATGTTGTGATTCAATAACTGTTGAAGACATCTATGGAAGAACAAGGTACACCCTAATTTGTAGGACTATGTTAGGTGGAGGGAGGTTCAACTGTAGAATTTTTTTACTGTGTTGGATAGTGCCCTGACTCAGGGTTAAAAGTTAATCAATGGAACTTATAGGGCATATTATTCCACTTGCACTAATCATTCCCCCACTTGGTGAGGCATGATAGTATGCCCCAGAATACTTGTTCAGTTTTCAGGCTATTATGTCATAGGCCACTCAGGGTGCTTGAGGGAAACATATAGTTGCATTCCTGAATAGAAATGGGCATTTTCTTGAAAAAGAAAATACACAGTAGGAGAAGGATTAGTGGAAAAAAAAGAATAAGTTAAGGGGTTAATTAGGTCAATGAGGTTAATGTCAGCATTTATGAAGATGGTAGTTTAATTTAATATAGAGAGAAGTAAGAGATGAAATTCTTCCATGTATGGTAGAATGCTGATTTTTTGATCTAGCTAAAACATAAGGTTAATGTATGATCAAGTGATCAGGAACATAAAGAACCTTCATGGTGCATTATTAGTATAGCAATGCATTTATCTCCAACGATTTTATTTATTTATTTATTCTATCTGCATTATCAATTGCATGTGTTATGTATTTACATGCTACTGCACTTTGGAAACAATGAACCTTTATTTGTATTTTTGTTAGCACCTGGTTTTAAATTAGTGTCCATGATTGCCAGTGATTTATTGAGATTATTATTTTATTATTTATACAAATGCCTGTTGTGATAAAAAAAAATTAACAGATCTTCACCTGGCCTGATGCTCTAGTTTTATTTATTTTTGTATAGCTGAAAATGTGGAATTTGGATGCTTGGATGACTGACATTCTGAAATGGATGCTACTCCATTGAAAAAAAATTTTAAATGCAGAAAGTCAAGGAACTTATTAACCCATTCCCTAGCAGATAGTTTCTTAAAAATTCAAACCCTACCCTTTTGGGCTATTTTGATGGAATTTCAGAAGAGTAAATTGTTATGTTCATTATTTTACTGCTAAAAGAGGAATTACTGAACCTATTAGGTACTAAATGGGGGCAAAAGTGATAATTTATAATAATAATATTGGTCTGTCTAAAAATGTTGTGCCCTGCTCAGTATATCTTGCCTGGAAAAGGGTAAAGATGAGTTAACCATGTTATGTGAGGTATTCACTTGCATGTTTTTGTGATGCAAGAGTGAATTTGAATTTTCCAATCATCCAGCCTGTATCCTTGCATTATGATCAGGTACCCGGATAGTGTATGATCGAAGCATGTTGATGAACTTGCGTCAATCTCCACTGTCCCAGACCCCACCTCAGAACCTTCCTTCAATTCCCGGTGTCACTGCCCCAAAGCAAAAGAAAGCCAAGGAGAATGGCCATGTGATCCTGGAAGATGTACAGGCTGAATCTGCTGCCTCCAATCCTCAACATGGTATGGATTCATGGAGCATTCTTATGATCTGAGGTTTACCAGGTTTCAAATATACTGGTAGGCCTATTTTTAATCCATATCATTGTGCCCAGTATCAGGCAATTTGGAAACCTTGAAATTTCCCTGTCAATGTACAGGATGCATGACGAGTAAATATCTAATCTTATACTTTAATATCCTAAACTACATCTTAGTTTTTTTTTTCAAATTGTAGAGAAATGTTTCATTTTGGCAATGACATTTCTCATGCTGCTATAGAATGAATGTGCCCTTGTTTTTTTTTTGCACAAAGTAATGTCAAGTTCTGAGGGTGAAATTGAAGAAGTCTTTCTACCACTATTTGAATTATTTTATCTGATTCCCTGCTTAGGCATGTTAGAAGGGAAGAAGAGAAGGATGCTATTAAGTCATCATTTTTAAAAAATCAATTTTCCAGATGGAGAAGATGCTCACCAGTTCCCCATGGAGATCTAGATCCTCCTCATCCTCATCTGTGTCGTAATGGCAGGGATCCGAGAATGGGTCTAGGAAATATCCCTTCTCGCTATTTTTTTTGGCCCTTTTTTTTGTCTTTTCCTTGTTTTTTGTTGTTACCTCTTCCCTCCTTTCATCCTTTTTTCTCTATCTTCTATCTTTCAGAGCTGTATTTGCATTTGCTCTGCATGGCTTGTTCATGTGTGCCTTTCTGCCCGTTAGGGACCCCAAGTGACGAGCATCTTGTCTGTGTGCCAACTGCTGAGCAACTTACACTGCTTCCAACCAGAATCATGTTGATGTGATTGCAGGCATCAGTACTGCTACAGTACCAGTATAGTGTTCAGTGTGATGTGAAGCCTTACTTCATCTGCAGAATAAATCAAAGATATTTCCCAACTGAGGGTTTCTTGTGACATTTGTTTTATTTAGGGAACAAGAGAGAATTTAAGATAGGTCTGCTGTAGTAGTAAAGTAGCTATTTCTGAATGTTACAAAAATTGAAAGTAATTCCTTATGTTGGCTAAAATTTCAAACATTGACAGCCAATTTTATCTCATTGCTTTCATGTTTCAGCACCAGGCACAAGGTTTGGAATCAAAATTGGTCTTTCTTCAATGTGCTCATGCATGCAAGATGGTCAATTTTTTGGCAATAAACATGTTTTGTCCATTTTCTGAAATTTTTTTTTCACATGAAAAGCCAATCTTGGCTGTACAGTAGTATTCCAAGAATGTCCTTTTAATTGAAATATTAAGGATCAAATAACCTCGTAAGACTGCAAAATGTGGCACATTTGTTGACTGGTTGTTTCCCCGTCTATTTAGTATGAGTGGTAAGACAGACCAGCTGGCTGGTTTTGTCATCTCAAGACAGGTGCTGCATTGCTTGCTTGATGGATATCTCCATTATAACTTGTGTTACATTCCTGAAAATTTTGCTGTCAGTTACCCTCTGCTTTCCTATATTTCTAAAGAGAGATTTGACAACAGGAATTTATGATAAAAGGCATTAACCTTTATGCTAAATATAGTACAGTAATTCAATTTTCTTAAAGAGCTCTTGAAGACAGCAAATTGGATGGGGGGGGGGTGGGGTTCTTGTGATTCTTGTTATATTGCTAGGACATCATCATTGGGAGCAAATATACAGGTGTATATCTGCTTCATTTGAAATAAGATTTATCATCATTTAACATCCTTTCCTGAAGACTTAGCTTTCATAGGTTCAAGTCTTTCATAATGTCTGAAGACTTGAACCTATTTTCAGGAAGGAATAATGCTAAAGGTTGATTGTGACTCACATTAGATGTAGTTGAACTGTGAAATACCTTATCTACAAAATTTTTTTGGATTGAATGCAATTCATTTGTGAGATTGGGCACAGTGTGGTGAGATCAAATGTATCATTGCCCATTCTTGATAGGCACCAACTATAGGGTCTATAATTTAGTATCTCGCCCTCATTTTTATAAGATGACCTACATTATGTATTTTATGATATCACTTTACATAGGTGTAACTGGACGATGAAATTGAATGATTTCAGGCATGGTATTAATATGGAATTAAAACTTGTGAATAGAAGAAAATCTTTTAGTCTCGCAACATATCTTAAAAGACCAGTCTGTTCTGGTCCTTGGCTCAGCACTTCATGGGCTTGGGAGGTGTGGTGAGGTTGCTTCGGCCTTTTTTTTCTCGTGAAGTCTGAATGAGTTGCATCAGTTTCCATTGCAATTTCTGCTTTGCTCCTGCGATTTTTTTTCCCCTCAGGAACCTCTGGTTTTCCGTCGTCAAAAGTGGTGAAGCAATTGAAATAATCTTTAAAAAATAGGGGGGTCAATAGAAGTGTAATGTCCCGTGGGTTACTGAAACAAAGGAAGTGACGCGAGTAGAATCACAGTAGTCTTCTGGAGGAGCTAGGTATCTAAGGTTATCTCGTTCCATGGATGGAGGGAGATAATCGAGCCTTTGTCTCGTCGATGAGGAAATAATCTCTTCTGCTCATTCTTTCATCATTAGTTTTTATTGGCAAATCCATATAAAGAAAGGCTTCCCACTCTTTCTTGCTTTACGGTATGCATTTGCGCGGTTTCTATCAGGTGCACTTCCTTCTTTCAGATCGTCGCGAACAAGACTTCTCGTGGAAATACCAATTTTGAACCTGAAATTCAGCAACGGATAGGGAAGGTGCGAGGAAGGGGGCTGTAAAGATGGGCGTTCTATGTATCATGTTTTTCACGTATTTCTCCGAAATTGAATCTCGCATTATCCACGAAGAAAATAGGGCCGTAGAATGCCCGACAGACTCGCTGAGGGTCTTCGGAAGCCTTTCGAGCGTAAAACAGATTCTTACAGATGCACCTGGTCCTCGACCGTGGAATGACTACTTATGGGTTGCACATTCGCTCAGGCTATTATTGCACCGAATCTCGATCTACTTGCACTTGAGCCAGTTTCGTGAATGCATCAAGTTTCTGTAATCGTCCAGAAGAAAGTACACATTTAAAGCGAAAGATGCATTCGCATGGGTGCTCCTTTAAAGTGCAAAGACGTCCGAAGAGGTGCACGGGGAATCTCCCATGATCTCCATGATGATGTCTTGATCCTGGTGTACTTTTATCCGCTCCGAAGGTGAATACGTTTCAAGAAAGATCCAAAATGAGGCAATAATGTGAACCAAGGAGCGGTTCCCACGAATTCCGCACAAGACACCTCATGTATACGCCAGAAGTACCTGCAATTGCAACGTGCAAATGCGAATGTTTGGGGCACATGCATCCGAAATTACAGATTGCGACCCAACTGACAATATATAAACTTACGAGTACGGCTAATTCGACATAGAACCAAGATCGGCCACAACCAACGGCGACATCACATCTCGGATCGTTCACTCTTCGTACGATTCCCGGAAACAGGAAAGGCTTATTCGATTCGCTCCTTTTCCTTGCGGAAGCCGCGCAGAGCCAAGGATGTTCCGATCTCGTTTCGTCCACTTCCCTCTCTGCCGACGAGGATTTTCCGTCATTCCTGGATTTGTCCTCTTCGAGGATCTCATCCTTGCCCTTTCTGGAAGCAAATGCGATTATGCTGCCGAATCGCGTTTCTACGAAGATAATGCAATGTCATAATTAATTCATCATTCATCTATTCAGAATTATTATTATGCATTTTTTCGTGTGATTTGTCCCTTTGTAAGAATTCACGAGTTTTTTTCCATTAAGCAGGATATTAATGATACCCTCATTTTCATAGCAAGCATTCCACAATTTTTCCGGTTTTTTTTATGCAGAGAACATTTTTTAAATGTCAACACGCTAAATATTGCATAAATACGAAATGTGTCCTTAGTAAGCGTGTACCAATTTTTGGACTTCTACGTTGTTTAATGAAGAAGCTACGAAGCTACGAACATGGGAAAAAAAAGCGATTGGACAAGTTGCCATCTTTGAAGACGTCCACTTCCTTATCTTTTCTCAAAGAAAACATTGTTGATATGGAGGTAAATCAGACACCATAATTAAATCACTTGGAATATATATATATACAGTCGAACTCGGTTATAACGTCATCGAAGGGACCGGGAAAAAGTCGTTGTTATAACCGAGGTTCTCGCATTACTCGAGTTCGCTATACCGAGGTAAATTGTAACGTGCCTTATGGGCTCTACGCCGGGACCTGGCGCTTTTCGTCGTTTTAACCGAGTTCGACTGTATATGCATATTATTGAAAAAATACACGACGATGACCAGTCTGATTTGGAACAACCCTGAAGCGATCCGGAAGTACAAACGCCTCTACATCCTCCAAGAACCAGAGGGAAAATGCATTAACCCTTTCATGGGAATTGGGGAAAAGTTCCTCCCAGCTAAGTTTTGACCCTCCCAGTGCTCAGAGAAGGCTTCCTATGTCACATTTGCATCATCAAGATGAATTCGTGAAAATTTTACCCTGCATTCATGAGGCCTGTAGGGAAGCCATTTTGGAACAAATATGTCACCATGCGGCCTGTTCGGGCAACACTTGGAAGAAGCAAAGTATTTCGTGATAATTACGGGACAAAATCGGATAAGAATGGCAAAATATATTTTCTATTTTTCCTTTTACATCCTTGGAGACTATTGTGAGTAGGTCAGCTCTCGGTAATATTCCTGTATAGTACATAAAGTATTACCGAGATTATATTCCTGTGTCAGTAGGTTATATAGGTATGCATGCATATATGCATATACCTATATACATATGAACTTTTTTGTATTTAGAGAATGCCTGAAATTTATCAAAATGAATGCCTCTAAAAATGGAAAAATAAAATGTACTGTATTTGCTGAAATGAAAAAATTTACTCGCGAAAGTGTTGACAGCTGAAACTTAGTCCCATTCACAGAGTGGTAGCCAAGAACAGATACTTTTCTTTCAAGAAGATTCCTTTAAGATGCCTCCTATCTTCATTCGCGGCGTCAACTTCTCGCTCTCTAATGAAAGTTGGAATTGGAAATGTTTTCTTCGCGTGACAAGGCCATGTCTTCCTGCGCCGACCCTTCCTGCGTCGAGGAAACGGGACAATATCGATGAGACGCGCACGAAATTGATCTTTTCAAGTTGTATGAGAAAGTTATGAGCGCTGGAACCAAATTATGCCAATACCCTCACAATCTGATACCTAATTGGCCGGTTTCGGTACCGTCACTGATACCAGGACCGACACCGGTTTGGGCTGGACTTTAATCGAAACAGTTCGTAATTTCTTGTTATTCTTGGCTACAAATGATGCGAATCGTTCCCTCGTTGTGAGCGATCCCTAATCCTCTCCAGAAGAATCGCTTTTTCTGCTTTCAAGTGCGCGATCCGAAAACGAGATCAGGTCACATACTGGAAACGTTGGTATACAAAATCAGCTCAATTTTGGCGTTTCACGGGTCGGGCCCACAAAGCTCGGTCGGCAGTCGACTTTCAGGTCGAGTGCGGGACCCCAAAACGGTAAGACTTATTGGACTTTTGACCTTTTTGAAGTGTCGCCTCCAGGTCATATGCTTTCGTTTGAACCCTCAGTCATAAAAATCCGTTCACCTGTCTAGGGGTAGTTTCCCGGAACGACACACCGACTGGCACACGGACAGAGTAGCTTCTAATCCATATGGATGATGAATGGCAGGTGAGAAACTTTAGAGATGTTGCTATTTATCCTGACTACAAGTTAAATTGCAACACCAAGGACTTGAGCGATTCTGATGAAATTTGGCACACGGACTCCTTTCGCCCTGCTGAAAAAAAAACTCCTGAGAATCTCATGAGAATAACCTCAAGAGGTATAGAACAGATGTCTCATGAGGTTGACTTCATAAGGTTTTCGAGTAGAAGCGCCACTTGCCTCGTTGTGGACCATGAAAGCCCCCTCGAGTTCTGAAAGGTAAAGTAAAGTAATAGGCGATGAAGTATGTAATGATATACAACTGTTACTTACTCCATCCTCAATACGTCATTCCATCAATGATCTTGCGACGTAACATTTCTCATCTCTTGCAGGAATTCAAGTGCAAAACCCAACGCTTCTACAAATCAGCAGTCCCCTATATGACCCGCCTCTTGAACGCATCATCCACCTAACCCAACTTCTCCACTTCACTTCACCTCATATATCCTTCACTCAATGA